ATCTTTAGGTAAAATATCTGCTTTTACCCAACAATTTTCAATTGTTTTATTTGTAACGTTATCCCATGCTTGTGCAATGTATTTTATACACTTTTTAATATCAATTTCAGAGGGTTCGATACAGTATTCATTAAATTTATCAAAAGCTTTAACCTGATTTTGTCTTCTTATTTTCATATCTAGTTTTTTATGTAATTGTTTCAGATTTAAACCTGCATCCAACTTTTTTAGTTCTAATAGTATTCAACTGGAAGTGTTCTTTTATCAATATTCTTAATAACCCTAGGATTTTCATACTTGTGTATGAATAAAGGCATCAGCTTTTCACTCTCCGTTGCGTTGCATATGAGTAAGGTCATTACATGATCCTTTGATTACTTCTTTCCTGATGTTTGTTCATTAGATATCGTTCAACATGGTTTCATCTTCCAAAATAGTCCTATTTCGTCATAATTGAATATATCTTTGAGACTATATTCTTTTAATATTTGCCAGAGATTCTCTCTCATTATTTCGAGATCTTTGAGTGATGCACTTATGGCTTCTCCATGTATAACGTACTGTTTAAGGTTATATTTTTTTTAAAGTTGTCCACCCAACTACTAGATCCTTTAAACTTATCCTCCTTTAATAAAAAAGCAAAACTCAAGGCTTTTATTAAAAGAATATCATCAGTAATAATAAGACTAGCTTTGAGTGCATTATCTATCCATATTACTAACACTTCTTCAATGAGAGGGAATGGAGTTTTTTTATTACGTTTCAAATTGGCTTGGTATGAATTGGTATCTACAGAAAGCCAACAGTCTTTCTCCTTTAAAATATCACTTACTATGCCTTCACTAACATCATATTCATTAGTCAAGTTTTTTTGTTTTAAAAAAGGTGATGATATTTTTTTTAAACAAAGTTCTTTTTTTTGTATAACTATAAGAGACTTTCGTTTTTTTTTAAAGGTTCATCTTATTTGTTAGTAGGTTGATTAAGTTGTTTCTTTGAGTTTATTTTTGGCATTATTGGCATTATGCAAAGAAAAAAAAATGCGTAAAAAATAAAATATGTAAAAAAAAAAATGAAACACAAGACACAATGCGTAATGTGAATATTTATTCATTTTTTAATTTTATTTAAAAACTAGGTACAAAGAACTACAAAATTTTATATACATAAATCTAGTAAAATTCATTTTAAGCAAAACTTCATTGTATCAAAAAAAAATTCATTATAGAGAAAATTCATTATAAAGAGAGTCATTTTATATATAAATTTTTCTGATTTTAATTGATTAAACATAGTATGAATTTTAATTACTAAATTCGGTATAGTAAGGGTTTTTTTATATTTAAAAACCTGTCTGACACTGAAAATCCGTTGTATTGTAAAATTCGTTATATTAAAATTCGTTGTAAAAAGAGTTGACTGTATTAGTATTCAAAGAGATTATTTATTAAAAATTCCTGTTCTGTTTTGATAAGTTAACCATTTTTCTAAAAATACATTAATATTATAATTTGAATAAATTTTTTTAAATAATTGATAAGCCATTTTTTATATATCTAATATTATACTATATGTTAGATAATTAGGGTCATTTGATAAATGTAAAGCCTATAAACAATAAATATAGAATCATAAATTTTTTGCTATCAATTATTTAGTTTATTATAAAGAAAGGTCTTTATTTCTAATAAAGCTAGTGGAAGATTTTTAAGTATTCTAGCAAGCCAAGCCTAAGAAGTTATTATTTGAGCTAATGTCATATTATCAGATTCAAATAATTTCATCATACAATTATATGGATACATAATTTGATAAAATATTTCAAGTTATGTCTAAAAATCTGAATTTTCAATTATAGTAATAATTGTGAAATTTTTTTTTTCTTTTTCTGACATTAAAAAAGATTTATTTTGAATAGCTATAATCTATTAATTAAATATAAATATAATAAGTTAAATTTTTTTAAATAAATAAATATTTATTATTAAATATCTTTAAATAATCTTTCATGGTTATTACTTACAATGCTGCTATTACAAAAATAGCTCAGTATGTCAAAGTTGGATATTGCATTTTAAATGATAATCTATTAGAAAGTTGACGTAATTTGTAAATTGCTAAATTAGCAGTATAAAAATGACTAATAATTATTTAATGTGTCATATAAGGTAAGCATAAAACCCACCCCTAAATTTCAGAATCCTAAATTAAATAAATATAAATTTAGATTTTATTAAATATAATTATAATAAATAAAATAAATAAATATATATCAAATTTATTAATCATCTAGCTTTATAATTTTCACCACTATTTATAACAAATCTAACCTATCTTTTAATTCTGATTTCTATACTAACTTTTTTATAATCCATATAAATATTTTCACCTAAATGTCATTGATTTGATTTGTTTTCTATTTTATATAATTTACTTTGTCATTTCTCATTAACTAATACATAATTCATAATACTATTATGTGTTTGACTAGTCCATTTATCTTCAGAAAGGATTATAAAATGTAAATTTATTATAAAATTCAGAATTTCTATTCTAACATCATTATTCAAATCTTTAATTATATTTGTGTTAAGCAATTTTTGAAATGGTAACCTAAAATATGAATTAAATAAAGCAAATAGTTTTTTAACTTTAGGATTATCAATGAATAAAAAAAGTAAATTTGCTAAAACAACTGTATAATCAATTTGTTTGTAAATTGCTTTTTTTTTATGTATTAAAAATGGTTTATTTGCATAATCATCTATTGATGATTGAGTTAAATTTGTTTTTAATTGTATTTATTGTAATTATATTGATATTATTGTAGGTACATTAATCATTAAAAGGATAGATAATAATGATTGTTATTTGTTTTTTTTTGTTTATTTCTTTATTATTTTTTTTTAATTTCTTGAAAATCTTTTTAAATATTTATTGTCAGCATCTTCACATTTACAAAGATGATTAATCATTTATTCAAGAATATTTTTTTCACAATAATTACAAATAGCCACTTTATGTAAAGCATTTCTTTTAGGTTCTTTTCAAAATAGTCTTAAATTTTATTCAAATGTCAACTTTATTTATTACTCATTTTTTTTAAAAAAAAAAAGTTTTGAAAATGATAATAATAGAAGTAAAAAAATTTAATGGGAATAAAGGCTAGCATTATAAAAAAGAAGACTTTAAATCTTTATATATGAGATTTTTGCAGGTTCAAATTGGAAAAATTGGATAAAATATCATGAGAAAATTATTCTCATTTAGTGCTTATTTAAGTAAAACATTATTATTTGAATGAATAAAAAAAATTTTATTTCGTCTAATAAAACTAATTTAAATAATCAAAACAAAAAATTTTAAAAGTTATTAAATGTTTAAAACTAATATTTTTACATGATTTTAATGTTAAAATATTGTAAAAAAAATTTTTTTTATATCGATATCATTATGAATATTATATAATATAAAATATATATCATTATTGAATACAAAATGCAATTTAATTTAATAGAACGGAAACACAGTACTTCAAAAAAAAATTTAAATTAGTTAAACAACATGGCATTTCAAAAAAAAAATTTAATTTAGTTAAATCTGATAATTTTAAAAAAGGGTTATTATATAAAATTAAGTTAACTTAATATATGTAATTTTAGAAAATCTTTTTTAAGGCCCTTATTAAATCACCTTATTAAGTTATAAAACTTAAAAATTAATTTTTAAGTCCTATCTCTAGCAATTAATAACTAAATTTTTGATATATTAAAAAATATTAAAATTAGATTCTAAAGACTTATAAACAGTATATTTTTTGATAATTAAAGCCTATAAAAGTAGCAAGTAGCATATTAAATATTGGATAACTAAAATTGAATCTGAAATCTAGAATTAATACTAAAAATATATAATAGGAATTTGCTTAATACTATATTTGAATTACTTTTGAATATTCTAACCAAATTTTTATTCTAAACCTCTCTTTTTATTTTACTGGTTTTTAAAAATTATATAATTATAAATAGGGAAAAGTTATTTCTCACCTGAGTGATTTCTCACTCATGTCACGTGATTGGTTATATCACGTGATTAGGATCACGTAATTTCAATTTTTAATTTATTTACTAATATATATTAAATGCATAACACAACGCATAACACACGAAATGCTACATTTTAATAGTATAATAAATTTTTTCTCACATTTTTATACTTTAGCATTCTATATTTTTAACGTTTCTCTTTAATGTTTCATATTTTTTTACCTTCCTTTTTCTTTCATTCTACTTTGAATTGACGTTTTCATTTATATTTTTCTCAAGTAATGGAAGTGGATAAAAATTACAATGAAAATGAGTGTATTTTAGTAAATACACACAATAATGTGCTAGGTATTGAACTTCTTGAATACAATGGACAACTTCCTATTATTAATACACCAATTAATTTAGAAGTTGGAGTTAGTTTTCTGTCACCTAAAATAGCTGACCATTATATCGAACAATATGCAATGCAGCAATATTTCATAATTTTTAAAGCAAAATTTGAAGTTCATAGTGATAAAACCTTTCGAAAACGAGTTTTCAAATGTAATGTGGAAGGTTATTGTAAACAAAAACTTTTCGATCTGGCTGTTGGCAGTTCAAAAAAAAAGGGTTCAAAAAAGATTGGTTGCGAGTGGCAAATTAACATGACGAGTCCTAAAAACTTATCTTTAGTAACAATCACATTATTCAAAAATACCTATTGTCATGATATCTTCATAGAAACTCTCAAATTTACTCCTATTTACAGATTATTTACTTCTGAAATTATGGAAGAAATCGAATTTTACATAGTAAATGGTCGCTGCGATGCTAGTACAATCTGGAATCTTTTACAACCAAAATATCCAGAACAGGTCTTCTTAACTCAAGACCTTAGTAATGCGATTCAAAAAATCAAATGAGATCATAATCTTCAATCGGAAGATGCTTCGTCATTATTGGCCAAGTTACTTCAGTTACAATCAGAAAATTCTTCTTGGTTTGTAAAACCTTGGATCGACGATATTTCTAATTAGTTAATCAGATTATTTTGGATGTCCCCTCAACAACGTGAACGTTGGCTTCAATTTAATGATATTATCATTTATGATAATACTGCTAGAACAAATAAATACAATTATCCTCTAAGTTTATTTATATTAATTGATAACTTTAATAAAAGTAGGTTAGCAGCACAAGCATTTCTTGCTGACGAATGACAAGAATCATATATTTGGTTACTACAAGTATGTTTAGAAGTTACAAATATACAACCAAAGATATTTGTTACTGATGTAAACCTGGCAATGCTTGCAGCTTCATCAATAGTATTTAATCAATCTCACCATATGTTATGTCTCTATCATCTTTATCAAAATCTCCCAAAAAACCTTCGCTCGTGTCTTAGTACACAATATCAAAATTTCCTTACCGACTTCAAATATATCTAGAAATCATTAACGGAAGAGGTTTTTAATAGAAGGTCACATGATCTTATTGATAAATATCCGGAAGGGAAAAAGTATATTTCAGATCAATTACTTGATAAAAAACATATGTGGGTGAAGTGTTTTACTTCATGTCGCTTCATAGCAGGCACACAATCAACCCAGTGAGTTGAATCAGAGAATGCACTTATTCAGAAGGCAGTACAATCCTCGTTTTCTCTATTTCAAGTTCAAGAAATTATAGAACAACGTCTTGAAACTGAAAATATTAACAATAAATATTCTATTTGGAAAGCCTCTAATATGGTATATCCGCAGCCATTTATTGTGAGTAATTTTTTCCAAGAAATTGATAATGTGATTAAAAAATATATCACAAAACCGATTCACAATGTACATTACAAGCAAATGTGCGAATCCGTATGTTATAAGGCATTTCAAGTGAATTTAAATAAGATTTTTACTTTTGATGACGATGTTTTTGAGCCATTGGTCATTGAATCTCAAGAGTCTGAAATTCCTACTCCTTTACAAGCAAATGAAGTAGATGATGATCGTGAAATATATTTACGATCATTGATTGAGCGTGTTAATCAAAATAATATATTGAAAATCTGGAAAATAACACGATATAACTATCCCAAATGTTATCAGCATATTGTTTTACTATGAAACGGAGAACACTTATGTACATGTTTTATGATAATTACTCACAGAATTATCTGTCGACATTTTTTTAAAGTATATATAGAATCAAATCGAGCATGCTTCCATATTCTTTTAATTTCTAATCACTGATATCAAGATCAATTTGTTGATTGTTTGGATTTATCTAATGAAGCTTTTGTTAATGCGAATAAAGGTGAATCAAATCAAAGCAATATTCAACATTTTGAATGGCGATATACTTGCAATAATAATTTGCAAGTAAATGAAGATCAAAAAAAAATCCGAAATCAGCTTAAATATGGAACACTTATGGGAGAAGCTAAGAAGACTATCCAATATGCTATTCAAGATGAGGATGATAAATTGTTATATTTCATTAAGAATTATAACATTCAAAAAGAACAAAATTATGAATCAAGCCGTTCTGAATTAAATAATGAGAATCAAACCATTATTACTTCTGAAGGCAATTGGGTTAATGTCCAAGATATTCAAAACCTGATATATCATTAACCAAAGGTCAGATACTATTTAAACGATTGAAAAGTGCTGTTGAAAAACATTCTAAAACATCACAAAAACCATTAGAAGAATTAACTAATAATGAAAATCAGAAATGGTAATACGGAATGTGTGAGGATTACAAGCATTATTATAGTACATGTCACTTAAATACAACACGATAAGCATTACCATTAATGTAATTATTATAATTTGATTGAGCAATTTTAATAGCAATTCTAATAAAATTTTGCAAAGGTGATAGTCTGCAAGAAATAAATGTTAGTGATATTTTTAGAAAAGAACTAGGCATTCATTCATTAGGGATGACAGTTCGATGTTATGTGATCTACAAATTGCATATGATTGTCCGGAGTGAAGCAAAGGACTATATATGTTATGAAAAGTAATCACATATTAAGGTTATGTGACGAAATAGGTTTGTCTGCACACGTGATATACAAAACAAATCTCATAAGATAGGAAAAGTTCTCACAAATTTCTGTTATATAAATTTTGTTCTGGTATCTCATTATATTTATTACACAATGCATACATCAATTATTACTTTTTTTGCATTACATTTATTTAATCTAATTTTAAATCCGCAACTCCAACTTTCGCTTCAGAACTTACAACGGTTTTCATTTTCTAGTTTTATATATAAATATGTGGTCATTTGTCGATCATAAATCTGTGACGCAAACTTGATTATATATAAGTCACCAATTCAATTTATCTAAAAATTCTAATTGGCTGAAAATTTTAAATTTAAATAATTTACTTATCCAATACAATTTGAGTAAACAATCACGTGATTAGGGGTGAGAAATATTAAATCTCACCTTAGGTGATAAATAAATTTATCCTTAATAAATTAGTTTTTAAAATATTATCACATTTTTTTGTATTACTTTAAATCAATTAAAATCAAATGTTATATAATATAATAAAGATCAATATTTAATTTTATTTTCTAATAGAACAAATATTTATTATGCTTATTTAAAATTAAGGTTTAAAATAGAAATAAAAATTTTATTAGCTAAAAGTCTAAAAAAAATATTTATAGCTGAGAATCTAAAAAAATATTTTATCAGATCCTTCTGAAATTTTATAAAATTTATTAATTATATAAATTTTTTATCAAAAAATTATAATATTTATATTTAGTATTTCAATTGAAATTTCTTTTATCATCGATTTTTATATTTTTTTCAGAATCTCTTTTTTCTTAAATTGATAATTTTATTAAAAAATTTATTAAATAAAAATTCATTTTTTTAAAATTTTTTGAAAAAATCTGAAATACAAAATTTTTTATAGAGGATTCTAATCTTTATATTTTTTATATTTGAATTAAAAAATCTGAAGATCTCTGTTCTAAAGAAAATAATGAAAGTTAAATTTTAAAGTTTAATATATAAAGCAATTTAACTCAAACTACTATAAAATAAACTGTAAGCTAAATAAACTAGCTTATATTATAACTTAGCTTGTATTATAGCGTATCTTGTTAATTAGTATTTTCTTCTTTAATGAAAATAAATCTAAAGGCAGTTTTCTTTGAAGAAAACTATTTCAATAACATTTTATATAAAGAAAAATAGTCCTAGTAACATTTTCTAAAGGTTAGAATTGGTTTAATATAATTCGATTTAAATTTGATTTAAATAAGTTGCAATATAAAATCAGATTTGATCTTTTCAGATTCAAAATTGAGTTTAATAAAATCAGTTAATTGTGAAAATTCAAATTTAATGAAACTGAAAATTTATCAGTTAAATATATATCTACTAAATCTATTATTTTCTTATTATTTTGAGAATTGATTTATACTATCGCTATATATTAGCTTTTATTATGCAATCTAAGATTAAAATTTTTTAAAAAAAATTTGAAATTGTATATTTTTGACTCTATACTTCATTATTTATATAGTCTATATATTATTTTACAATTTTTAATAAATTTTTTATTCGTAAATTGATATTATATCTTTTAAAATGGTAGGATATAAAGAAAAGCAGCTTTTATATTTTATTTTAACTTTATATTATAAATACCTGCTAAAATTTTTCCAAAATAATTTCGTTATACCTTTTTCTATGTTTTTAATATAGTTTTAATAGTTTTAGCTTTTGTTGTATCAAAAGGATTTTATTATATCCCTTATTATAATTTTAATATTGTTTCGTCTAAATTTCAACTATTATTAAGGGGTTTCGTCTCTCATAATTACTTAATATAAAAAATATTTATCTATTTTTATAATTTCTGTACTTAGCGAAATATTATTTTCAAATGCAAATAATTATATATAGCAAGATATACTTAATTATGAATCATGTTTTATTTTAATTTTTTATTTATCATTTTAAACATATAATTAACTTAATACTTATTCTTTGAATAAAAATTAATAAAAATAAAAGAAAATGAATATTTTTTATATTATATTATATTATAAAACTTATTATAATTTAGTTTTTCAGATTTATTACAACTGAATGTTTGATTTAATTAGTTTTATTTAAACAGGATACTTTGTATAACAATCAGAAATTTTGGATGCTTTTTTAAGATATGTCAAAAGTATATGATTAGATTAACATTTTACATTAACTAAAGCTCTTGAACGACTTAAGATTTTATTCTCATTTATTTAAATTATTCTTAGAATTTTTCTACCCCATTTTAATCAAGTTTTACATCACATGAAAATATTGACATATATCTAGTTCACTTAGAAATCAATTAAGAGAAGTAATCTCATCAATTTTATGATATATTTACTATTATATAAGATCAATAATTCACCCTATAGTTATTATATAAATATACAATAGTGCTCTGATATCCATTCTACCTAAACTAATTATTATCAATATAAAATTCCTGTTTTAGCATTTATGGATGATACTTTGTGAGTCACTAAGCTCAAATAAGATCTATTGAGCATTATTTTGATTGCTAACAGTTTTTTTATTTTAATGATATTCAAGTAAATTGGTCTAAATCAGAGTTTTTAGTCAATACTCCTCAGTCAAAACTATTTATTATTCAATATAACTAATAAATCTGAAAACTCATACTTTATCATCCTAATGATAATATTAAATATTTAGGTTTAGATATCTTTACAGCCTAATAATATTTTTATCGTAAATTAACTACATTCTGAAATTAAAAATGCAGTCTTAATTATAAAAAGCAAATAGTTAACTGACTTACAAATGATCTATATCTATAAACAATCATCTTCCTAAGGATGGAATATAAGTCACAACTCATATTTCTATCAGCAGCTCAATGCAAAAAATTAACAGCTATATTTATAATTTTCTTAAAAAGAAAATTTAGGCTTTTACAGCTGATACTTACTGAATTATTTAACTCATATTATTTTTATAATATTATACTATTACACCAAAGTTTTCTCTAATATTTCAGTTTATCACTTTTATAAATGACCAATGAATCCAGTTTATTGGGACTATTCTTTTTTATTCAAATTAAGCAATTACAACTCAGAGAATAGTTTAATAAAAGTCCTTTGATCTTTTAGCCTTATGAAATACCACAAAGAAATGATGATTGGCTTCCATCAATTCTTTGTAATCTCAAATCACTCAAAATATCCTTAAATATTTCATTTATTTTTCATCAAGTTATTGAAGGAGGATTACATACTATTTATGATCTGATCCTAACTTAATATAGAATTTTCACTAGAGATTTATGGCAATACTCAATTCTTTTTATTAAATAATTATTTAGCTATCACGGTAAATACATATTCTTTTATAGTAACTTCTATTCTATCACAATACTGAGAAATAAATTTATATGACTCTCAAATAGTTTACAACTATCAAACAATTATTTACATTAAATGTTGACAGAGTTTTGTAACTGTTGAATAATTTTAAATACAACTAATATTATAGTTCAATTACTTGTCCTCTTAAACAAAAGCTTAACACATATAACTATGTAGTTGAATGGAATATAAATATTAAATCCTTTATTATAGGATGTCTTACATATTTTAATAAAGATGTTGTACATATTAAACATTGTTTACTTCTCATAGGCCTCACCATTACACTATTTTTACAGACTGTAATTATCAAGATAATGCGTACAAGATGAAATCTAGTCTTTTCAATTATTTTCTTATGATTCCTAATAGCCTATATATATTTATTCTAATTAAATTTAAGAATAAATATGTAGATATTCTTCATACAATTTTCTCAATAGGAGCTTTACATGAACTCACATTAACCAAATTTTTTTCTGTTTTTAATTCTTCATTTTTAGTTTCTTTACAACTTTTTATCCTTCTACTACCTACTAATCTAGTGGATAAATATATTTCTTCACTACATATATACAATTACTTAATTTTATTCAGCAATTTATTAATTTAACTATTTTAGAATTTTATATAAATAGTTTTCTTCAAAACCTCAGCATTCTTCTATTAAAATGAGTCTGGCATAGTTATAAACTTATCCTGAATTACTACTGTATTCCTTTATTACATCTTTTATTGCTAGTTTTTTATCCTCTTCTTTATCTGAATTTGTAGTAATTTTTACATTAATTACTGCTCCTCTTTACTGTAAAGTGAAAATTTATATCAATTCAGTGATCATCATTTCTCACTTTACAAAATTTAAAAACTTCTTTTACCTCTCTCCTATATTTCACCTATTCCTTAAAATTAACAATTATGTAAACTGGTCTTGCTTATTCAATGTCATATTACAAAATCATCTGGATGTATATTTTATTAAAATCAAAGTATATTTAGATAACATTTATAACAAAGTTAATATTTTTGTCAGAAATTGTAATCAATTTTCTGCTTTACAACTCCTCACATCTAACTCTTGCAAAGGATTTATTATATTCTATAACTTATATATTTTGATTCCCATATGTCAATTCATTAAAAAATTACATAGAGAATCTTTGATTTTGAAATTAAACAATCTGAAAGTTTTCTTAAAGTATTACAAAATAGTTCATCCTCATTGGATTGCTATCTCTTTTTTACTCAAAGACAATATTGCTTTAGAATATATCTCTTATATAACTTCAGTAGTCAGAA